CATTTATTGGTTTGAAGATAGTCACCATAAAGGAAATCTGTTATCATAGTGGACGAGTAAAGTCCAGCATAATGGCATTGCTTGCTGCTACCCATGGCCTCCCACCAGACATCATTCCCGCTACAAAAACTGCATGGTTAAGAAGGACATCTTAACACATGGATAACATCCTACACAGATAACTACATAGAAATCCACATATGACTGCATCATAGCTCAGAGAATTGGATCCCAAACTCCTTAGTTTGGTGCATCGATCACTGCCTGCAAAAAGACCTCTGCTTACCAAGTTGTGCTACAAGGTAACCACTAAGACCCAGTATGAAGAAGGAACACCTATAATTTGCCAGGAAATATGTTCACTGGAGTGTTGATGACTGGAATAAAGTCATGCAGTTGGATGAATCCACATTTCACTGTATTCAAAGTTGTCGGAGCAGGGTGAGGCACCCCGTCCTCCATCAGAAGGTATGACCATGCATACACACTGAGCATCATAAAGCACCCATAATCTGTCATAGTTTGGGGTTGCTTTAGTGGTTTACTTTGTCATGAGGGTTTGTACTTCCTTTCCCAAAATGTTAGCAAATGACCACTACATCATCATTCTCAAGGAGCACCTGCTGAATATTTTTGAAGCTCACGACTGCACCACCTTTGTGCATGATAGCACTCCCCTATAACAAGGCCAAAAAAAAGTAAGCAAGTGGCTTGTTGAGAAAAATATTGAGGTTTTACAGTGGCCAGGTAATAGTCCAGACCTCAATCCTACTGACAATGCCTGGAATATCATGAAAAAGGTGGAATCCTGTCACATTCATCCATGTCATCCCTGCAACAGGAGATGGACATTTGGGTCAACCAGTTATTCATTAATTATGTCAGGATTCTAAGTGAAAGCATGCCTAAATACTTTCAAATGGTCAACAAGGCCAAAGGGCAGATGATAAAATATTAATATAAGTATCAAATTTTACAGTTTTTGTTCTATAATGTTTATATTGCTTTTTTAAACGATTTTTATAATATTGAAAAGGATGTCTGGTTTACTTTTATGGGCACTGTATATATAGATCGTGCTTCACACAGGCATACAGTGGTGTCTACACCAATATATTGATATACTGCCTGATATTTTCCTTTTTTTCTTTCTTTCCATAAATATCTTGACACTTGCCACTTTCATTTGGTCTTCTGTGATTTACCTCATCATGGACAAATCTTCTGATATTTTTACTCCCAAGTACTTGTACAGTACTGTATTTATGTACATTCACATCCTGCAAGTACTTTCCTTTCACACTGACCTTTAAACATTCATTTCCTATACAGTGTTTCTGTTTTTGCTAATCTCATTGCTATCTGCATTCGTTTTCAACTTTGTTTACACACACACTTTCCAACCTCCAGTTTTTCTTGACTCTCCCTTTAACACTATTATCCGTGAATTGTGATGGCTCCCAGTCCAAATTAGAATAGTTATACAAATTATTTAGGATTTGAGAAACATTTTAATGAAATATTATGTATAAGAAAGTAAAGATAATAAGGTATTATGAATGTAAGTAGGCATTATTATTATTAGCCTGATATTTTAATTTTCCTTAGGCAGGAAATAACCATGTTTGTAATCCTTTTTGGACAAAATCATTAAACAGGTTTCATTTATCTCACCTATATGATGGTGGGATGCTAGCATCTTCCTACTGATTGCTGTTTACTTATTTTGTTCTTAATTTTTATATTGTAAAAAATCTCTTCACACTAACCTAATATTTTTTAACATCTTTTAACCCTCATTATTCCACTTTTTTTTTTTTTTTTTTTTTGTCACTTGCCCCTACCCTTTTCTTGTAAATTGCTCAAACATTTATTCTTTATTGGTTCAAAATTCTTTTAAGCATTTCCCTAATTCCCCTCAGTATCTCTGCTACACTTCTCATATATCACTCATTCCTTCTTATAAACTATCTGCATATTTAGGATTCTAATAGTTAAGACATCCAATGCTCTTGTTAGTGTTGCTATGACATTTTCTACTTAACACTAACCCATATTTTTAATCTGTCAATCTGTATTTCCAATAGTATCAATGAAATTGCTTTAGATACAGACCATTTAAAAAAGGTGAAATGATTACGTAAAACTGATTGCTTACATTTATAGTGTGAAGCTATAGATTTGGACATCAATGTAGGAACCTTGGGGAGTATTTGTCTTGTAGTGTGTCTCCATAAAAAAGAAATTCATAACTGTTGCAATAAGATTTCTAGCTTATTTTTAATTGTATTTCATTTCATTAAATTATTCTTCAAAGTCTGCAAGGCAGATGTCATCTCCACATCATCCAGACCAAACTTTCCAACAGCAAAATCACCAAATTGTGTTTTCTTAGCTTCGTCATTAAAAATATCAGTAATCATAAACAAGGTTAAACATAAATGGTCACTAAGCATTGCAGTAATGCAGTAATTTTTTTAAGTGAGTTTTGATTTCAATGAGCTTTCATAATTTCTTCATATAAATTCTTTTCTTTTTTGGCATTGGGGCATATACTGTACTTATATGAACTGAAGCTCATTCTTTCAACACACCGGCCGTATCCCACCGAGGCGGGGTGGCCCAAAAGGAAAAACGAAAGTTTCTCCTTTTACATTTAGTAATATATACAGGAGAAGAGGTTACTAGCCCCTTGCTCCCATGAACTGAAGCTCATATCCACTGGAAATTTTGTGCCTTAAGTTTTCATTGTTTTTTTAGTTTGCTTTTCATTAGCTGGAGCCTTGCTTATGTTTGACTTTTCAATTCCATGTTAGTATTAAAGGTGCCCAGATTTTAGCTCAAGTTGTTAACTCTTTCTTGTAGTTTGCTTAATTACACCCATTTTTTTGTGTATTTGTTTACATGTTTGCCCTACTAAATTTAAATAAATATTTCAATGAACAGTAGATCAGTACTTGATAACAGCTCAAGTGTTAATCATAGGTATTCTTAGCACCATGTCTTGGTTTGGGTCAGACTAGTGTCATGAATAAGAGAACCATGTCACTCATAAGAGTTCATTCTGGCAGTGGTATGAAATGCCATGCTACTAGAGGCAGCATGTGCAAAATATTTCATTAGTAACATTGTAGGAGATTGTATCTTGATTTGGTCACTTTAGCTGTTTGATAAATGTTGAATGCAATCGTATATGCAAAACTGTTCGTGGATCTTTGAAAAAAAAAAAATTCTCTTGCTGAAAAGCAATGAAAGTTTCTCTAAAAAAAATTACATAGTACTGTACAAAAAACACTTGATTTAAGAGACTTTCAAAATAGGGAACAAAATTCATTGAGTCAATTGATTGGAATCCACAATGTGCATTATCTAAAAAATTAGTTGCTATAGTTATGTTCCTGGCAAAATAACTCTGTTTACCACAGTCACCAGTATTGGTCATTTGCTACCCCCGTTAGTCATTTAAATGTAGAATTTGCGATACTTTATTGCCTAGCATATGTACAGTAGACCGTTGTTTAACACGGTAGTTACATTCCTGAAAACACAGTCTTAGGTAAAACCATGTTGGATGAACTGAAGAAATTATGGGAAAAATAGGGTTACATTCCTGAGAGCTCCAAAAAAGCCAAACAACTTTTTTTTTTAGGCCTCCACATCTTATAAAAATAAAAGTGAATATGTAATTGTAGTTCATTGTTGTGATGTATTATGTTGTTTTTACTGCTTAAGACTACAAATGTAACAGAAATAATAGTATTTCTTACTTTAAATTGTGGGTGCTGGTGTTTGTGGATGATTGTGAAGAGAGTGGAGAGTTATGCTGTGGCCCTACTGGGCTGAGGTGGATGGTAGAGGTTCTGGTTGATGGTTGTACTGGAGTGTCTAACTTTAAGTCAATCAGTCAATCAAGTCATTCAGTAAGTCAATCAAGTATTCAGTAAGTCTCAAGTATTCAGTAAGTCTCAAGTCATTCAATAAGTCAGTCAGTCATTCGGTAAGTCAGCCAGTCACATAAACTTATGGCCACAAGACATCCTGTGGCCATAATGAAGTGTTACACTTCATTATGGCCACAGGATGTCTTGTCTAATATCTTTGTTTCCTTTGTTAATTCTAAGACTTAAATGCTTACACATTTTCTTGCCACTTTGAGCAATACTGGTATGCCTACTAGGTGTCATGATTGCTTGGCAGATAAAAGATATAGCAGTTAAAAGATCAAAACACAATTCACTATCACAAGCTTGTAGCAGAGAAGTTGGACTGGACATGTATGAAGTACGAATGCTGGGATGGTGAGGTGGTGTCGGGAAGGTGGATGGGGATGGCGGGAGGTCTCCCCTGCAGATCCACAACAAGGCAGCTGCTTGAGGAAAAGAATAATGTTTTTTCCTTCCCGCAAACTGAACAGTGTTATATTCATCTTATGACGTGTTACACAAAATTGTGCCGCAATTCTTCAATCGTGTTATACCCAAATTGTGCCAAATAAACTCGTGCTAAATGATGGTCTACTGTATTTCAGTAACATTTTTTTTTTTTTCAACAAACTAGCCATATCCCACCGAGGCAGGGTGACCTAAAAGGAAAAATGAAAGTTTCTTTTTAAATTTAGTAATTTATGTAGGAGAAGAGGTTACTAGACCCTTGCTCCCAGTATTTTAGTCGCCTCTTACGACATACATGGCTTATGGAGGAAGAATTCTGTTTTGTTGCCAAAAACAAGCGGTAATCTGAATGACTCAATGGCTTCCAGCTGCTTAATAGTCTGAGAATCTCTTACCAAGGAGAAATATTTTATATGATTAACATTCTTGGTGTTAATGGAATGTGATATAATCTCACATGATAGATATGGATTAATTTTTTCACGAGTCACTTGGACCAGTAATAGAATTTTTTAAATGTAGAGGAAGCAAGTTATTTTACAATTTATTTAAATGTTGCAATCGTATACTAATAATTTGTCTAATGTTGAACTTTTACTTTAATTCCAGATATATTTTGGTCTTATCAATCTCCTCTCAACAGTGCCAATTCTTTTGGCTGCAATGATATACTTCAAAGAGTTCTTGGAATATTGTACTGAAGATGAGCCACAAGGATTACAGTTGTGGCAGGTAAGAGGTTGCATTGTGACTGATTATATTTAATTCAAATGTGTGCATAGTCCTAAAAGAAAAAGTGATCAGCAGGTGAAGGGGTTGCAGAGGGTGAGAATGCAAATATAAAGCAAATGGGTTGGTGTCCAGCACAGGCTTTGCCTCCCCAATAAAATCCAAAATCGCTCAAAAGTTTCTGAAGACAGAAGTAGCAGGAAGCAAATCCCAAGAGGCAGATGGAGCAGGGAGTGGAGAGGCATTGGCACCTGTCAAAATTGTAGGAGAGAGAGAGAGGAAAGGGGGTGTCTTGGGAGGAAGGAATCTACATAGAGACAGGGACAGTAATGACCTTAAGTGGGAATGAATGTATGTCTACAGCTGTGACAGATGTAGGAGGCAGGGAAGGGAAAGGAAAGTTAACCATGAAGGAGCAAGAAGTTGAAAGGAGTTTTGGGCCTTTGAGATTTTGGAGGAAGTGATGAAGACAGCCAGGGAAGGCTCTGTGGGAGGCAAACAAGTGAAATGTTGGAAGATGAAGCAGGAAGAATGAGAGAAGGCAAAGAAGTGGGAATGTCAGAGGTGAGGACTGCATAAGGGTTAAACACAAGGGTGACTGTATAAGAGAGTGGAGTGGGGACCTGAGGGCACTGAGCCGCTCTGGAGTAGGAGGAGTCACTGCTATAATGTATGAAAGGCCCTCTCCTTCCTTGAGACAACAGATTTGATGTTCTCTTAATCCTTTCACTGTCGGTATCGTATTAGTACAACTTACAAGCCAGTGTTGGTGCCGTATTAATGTGCCAAAATTCTAGTGGCTTCAGATCTAGTGGCAGAAAGTTGGTACCTCTGCATGTGAGAGAATGGGTTTGCATGGTTAGTGTGCGCAATATAAAAAAAAATCCTGCAGCATGCAGTGCACGATGAGAAAACATAAACTCCGACTGTGTTTTTGGTTTAAAACACAGACTCTGAGGTGTATTTTTGCATGGTATTTATGGTTGTTTTCTTGGTTTCATTTGATGGAATGGAAGATATATAAATAACGATGATTTTGATTGGTTTCACGATGAAAGGTACCTTGAAATTAAGCTCAAAGTAGCGGAAATGTTCAATTTTTTCCAATGTTCATGAGTAAACAAATGACATCACCGTCCAATGTGTGTCCAACTGGCCAGTCTAATACGCAGTCATAACTGGGTTGACCTTATTTATACACTTATTGCAATAATGCAGTAGTCTGCATAACAGTAAATCTTCTATATTTTGTGTGAATAAAAATTCAAAATGGAGGGGCCTGGAGATGTTACTAATGAACAGAGAAAATGTTATTTTAGTGCCAGGAATGTCTGCATTGTTTATTCTGGACCCTGTTTTGAAATTGGCATCTTTTGAAATTTGTGTGAAATTGGCCAAATTGCCAATTTCTGACCACTTGATTGGGTAGTTGAAATTGGTTAATGGGCAGTTTCTTGTACTTGGCCGATAGAATAAATGGAGTTACATTGAAATAGTTATGAGTTTGGTTGACTGTAACAGTGGAATTGGCCGAAAATAGGGATTGGGCAAAAATGTGATCTAAAATACTTGGCCAGGTGACCAAAGTGCCAGCAGTGTCTGCACTGTTGAGGTGTGGGGAGCAACTCCTGCACCTGTAAATATTGGCCTGCTAAATAAATGGAAGCTGGAAGCTCCTGGCAATTGAAAGTTAGTTTAACAACATTGCTAGGATAATGTCTCTGACCCTGAGAAGTGCAAACATAAGTTTCCACTTTGGTGACTGAGTCACATTACATTAAGCCTTGTTGCAAACAATAAAAAAATCAACTCTCCATCATTAGAGAAGCCAGGTACATGATCAAGGTAGAGTGGAGGTCAGGGGTATCACAAGTGCCAGCTGGAACACTGGCACCAAAATTAGGCAAAAAGGCATTGCCCAAAAGCAGTTCCTGGTTAAAAGGAAGGGAGTGGTTTCCATGCAGCATGACCAGGCTGGGGCCAGGTAAGGATGATGCAGGGATAAGGGGCCCAAAAGGAGGCAAATCAGGGACTGGAGTATCAATGATTTAGTCATGCTAATGCTTCATGGAAACCACTCCCTACCCTACCCTACCCTTTCATGCATCTAAACAAGCAATCCAAGGTGACACTTTACGCATCAACGAAACCACTTCAACTGACAAGATGTGGGCGATTGTCAAGTGTCATACCTCCCTCTGGCCACAACCTCCTGGAACTGCCAGGCAGCCTCCAGGTATATTTCATTCTAAGGATGCATGAGGTCTCCCACCAGGACTCCGGAGGGTAGCCTAGCACATCCCCAAGTAATTCAGTTCTCACGGCAAACACCACCACCATCACTGAGAACATCGCCAGCATGGGATGGTCAATTTTCCCTTTTCCTACAACCTAGGAGCTGTAATTTATAAGAGGAATATCTCCAAAGGCCAAATGTAGAGAAGCTGAGAAGAGTGGAGAAGGGAGGAGGGGTGGGATGGGGGAATATTTAAAGTTGATCTGAGGAAAGAGATAAAAGACCCAATTCCTTGGTTCAAGAGCCCCTTCACCACACCTTGAAGGGGTGGATAGGTAAATATGTGATCAGCCCATAAGTTTGAAGATGTAGTTTTGAGGTGATAAGACCTTCAGCCATGAGAAGTGTTCAGCATCATAGTCTTGAATATTGCTCAAGATTATGAAGTTGAACACTTCTCATGGCTGAGGGACTGACCACCTGAAAATTACTACCTCAAGGCTGTTTAAATGAACACATTATCTCTACCTCTCCACCACTTCTGCTGTCTCCATATTTTGTCACTTATGTATTCAACTGAAGATGGTGTAGTCATGCTCATCTACTGTCAGTATTGTAAACCAATATTAGAATAAAGCAGCAATGAGTCTAATGAAGAAAGTCAAGATGATGATACAGGGATTGAAGAACGTGACAACTTTGAATTTGATAAATGTTACGAAGAAATTGTAGTCAGTTCTTCTAACAGCATATCATAGACATCTGCCTTTCCCAAATCCCAAAAGCAGCATCCTTAAACAAATACACTGGTATTCGTTTTACTATAAAGATAAAAATGGATAATAGAAAAATGTGGCATTGGTGTTAATGCCTAAAGAATTAAATCCACTTGAGTAATGGAAAGAAAATATGATAGTTCTTCCGTCTCAGGCAAACCTAGCCAGTAAATATCTTGAGTTCACCCTTTGCTTCAGTAGAATGAAAAATTGTTCAGCACTGGAAGGAACATCATCTCCCTTATAGGAACAGATTAATTTCCTAAAATAGGAAGATGTTGATGCTTCTCAGCTCACTTGATATCTTCAAAGTAAACAAAAAAAAAAGTCCTTAAGCTGTATAATGGATTTTTTTTTTTTAACAAGTCGGCCATCTCCCACCGAGGCAGGGTGACCCAAAAAAGAAAGAAAATCCCTGAAAAGAAAATACTTTCATCATCATTCAACACTTTCACCCACTCACACATTATCACTGTTTTTGCAGAGGTGCTCAGAATACAACAGTTTAGAAGCATATACATATAAAGATACACAACATATCCCTCCAAGCTGCCAATATCCCAAACCCCTCCTTTAAAGTGCAGGCATCGTAGGTAGTAGGTTGGTAGACAGCAACCACCCAGGGAGGTACTATCGTCCTGCCAAGTGAGTGTAAAACGAAAGCCTGTAATTGTTTTGCATGATGGTAGGATTGCTGGTGTCTTTTGTCTGTCTCATAAATATGCAAGATTACAGGTATGTATTGCTACTTCTACTTACACTTATGTCACACTACACATACGTGTACACGTTTATTTATACACACTCATCTGAGTTTTCATTGATTTTATCTTAATAGTTCTTGGTCTTATTACTTTTCCTTTTATATCCATGGGGAAGTGGAATAAGAATCTTTCCTCCGTAAGCCATGCGTGTTGTAAAAGTCAACTAAAATGCTGGGAACAATGGGCTAGTAACCCCTTTTCCTGTAAAGATTACTAAAAAGAATAAGATAATAGAAATATGTTGGTTAATTAAGTTAAATTGGAGAAAGGTTGCTCAAGTTCTGAACTATAATTTTAGATTTTCAATTTCCAGTTGTTAAAATGTACTTTTTTAGGTTTCAAAGCATTGTCTGTAGTTTTAATATACAATTAGTGGATGGGATGGATGGATGGGTTTATGAAGGATGAGGTAAACCATAGAAAAAGGGTGGGTGGTGCATTGAGGTATCTGTGGAGACGAAGAAAGTTATCCATGGAGGCAAAGAAGGGAATGTATGAGAGTATAGTGGTACCAACATTTGTATGGGTGTGAAGCATGGGTTGTCAATGCTACAGCAAGGAGGAGGCTGGAGGCAGTGGAGATGTCATGTCTAAGGGCAACGTGTGGTGTAAATATTATGCAGAGAATTCGTAGTGTGGAAATTCGGATGTGTGGAGTTACTAAAAGTATTATTCAGAGGGCTGAGGAGGGGTTGTTGAGGTGGTTTGGTCATTTATAGAAGATGGAGCAAAATAGGATGACTTGGAGGGGAGGAGGGGTAGGGGTTATCCTAGAAAAGAATGGAGGGAGGAGGTAAAAGAGGTTTTGTGTGGGCTTGGACATACAGCAGGCATGTGCGAGTGTGTTAGACAGGAGTGAATGGAGATGAATGGTTTTTGGCACTTGACGGGCTGTTGGAGTGAGCAGGGTAATATTTTGTGTGAAGGGATTCAGGGAAACTGGTTAGCTGGACTTGAGCCCTGCAGGTGGGAAGTACAGTGCTTGCAATATAAAGGAGGGGTTTGGGATATTGGCTGTTTGGAGTGACATCTGAACTGTCATATCCAGGTGCCTCTGCACCCCTGCCTCGGTGGGAGACGGCTGTCGTGTTGGAAAAAAAAAAAGTTATTTTTTCATGTTTAATATAACTAGTAATTATTCACTGTTACTTTTGTAATTGATTTCAGATTGCCTTCATCAGTTTACTAAATACATATGTAGATAAATTCAGGAATTGTATGTATGGTTTTTTTTTTTTTTTTTTTAAGCCTCATGAGGGTGCCTAAAATTTGTAACGAGTAATGACACTGGCATCCCATAGACATTCGCTTATATATAGAGCATAGTTATAATTTTCAAAATAAAAAAATATTAAAAAGGTGTTGGTACTGCCCTACAATTGAGTGTCAGTAGCTGCCAAAAATTTAGTATCGTCCCATCCCTAGTAATACAGCGGACCCTCCATTTTTGTCGATCTCCGTTATTGCTGAATTCGGTTTTGGCAGACTTTTTTCGCTGATTTTTTGGCTCCATTTTCGTCGATCGTACAGAACCTGTCCAGTGCCGAACGCACAGACAAAGCCACCTCCCACACCATTCTCACCAGTGTAGTATTGTTTCTCGGTGAGTGAACGTATCCTTCTTGGTCATATGAAACATTTCGTAATCATTGTTTTTGCCGCTTGTTTATTGTTTGTGACTGCTAAATAAGCCACCATGGCCCCAAAGAAAGCTCTAGTCCTTTGGTAAAGAAAGTGAGGAACACTGTAGAAATGAAAAAAAATTCCTAAGAAAATATGATAAAGGCATACGCATTGCTGAACTCGGCAGGATATACGGGAAGTCGCCATCAACAGTCGGCTTCATTGTAGCAAAAAGAAAAGAAATCATGGAAGCTGATGTTGCAAAAGGGGTGAATGCAGTAACCAAACAGAGATCCCAAACAATTGAAGAAGTGGAGAAATTGTTGTTGGTGTGGATCAGAGAGAAAGAGTTAGCAGGAGATAGTGTTGTGCAGTCAGTTATTTGTGAAAAGGCAAGGCAGTTACATGACAACCTCTTAAAGAAACTTCCTGAAACAAATGCTGATGTAGGTGAATTTAAGTGTAGCAAAGGCTGGTTTGAAAAAATTCAAGAAGCGAAGTGGCATACACAATGTAAGGCACGGCGAGGGTGCCAGTTCAGACAAACAAACGACTGAAAAATTTGTGCAGGAATTCAAATGTTATGTAGAGTCTGAAAAATTCCAACCCCGACAAGTGTTCAGTTGTGATGAAATAGGCCTGTTTTGGAAGAAAATGCCAAAGAGGACCTACATTACGCAGGAAGAAAAGGCACTCCTAGGACAAAAGCCTATGAAAGACAGGCTAACACTCTTGTTGTGTGGTAATGCTAATGGGGATTTCAAAGTGTAGCCTTGACTGGTGCATCACTCTGAAAATCCCAGAGTGTTCAAGAAAAGTGTTGTCAAGAGTAAATTGTGTGTGATGTGGATGGCAAACAGTAAGGCATGGGTCACAAGGGAAATTTTCCTGGAGTGGTTTAATGAAGTGTTTGCCCAAGTGTGAGAAAATACCTCCTGAATAATAAATTGCCACTCCAGTGCCTCCTGTTAATGGACGATGCTCCTGCTCATCCTCCAGACTTTGAAGACCAATTGTCTAAGGTATTCAGTTTTGTAACAGTGAAGTTTTTACCTCCTAACACCACTCCTCTTCTCCAGCCCATGGACCAGCAGTTCATTGCAAACTTCAAAAAACTGCATACCAAAGCAATGTTTTAAAGGTGCTTTGACATAACCTTGGACTCTGAATTGACCCTAAGATTATTATTTATTATAATCAAGGGGGGAGCGCTAAACCCGTAGGATTATACAGCGCCTGGGGGGGATGTGGAAAGCATTCAGGCTTAATTCAGGGAACCGGAGCACAGATCCAATTCCCTAAATCAAGAGCCCCTCACCAACATCAAGGAACCTTCCCTGAGGGGATTGACCCTAAGAGAGTTCTGGAAGAATCACTTCAATATCTTCCACTGCATAGGCCTTACAGATAAACCTTGGCAGGGAGTGACCAGGATGATGAACTCTGCTTGGAGAAAATTGTGGCCAGATTGTGTCCAAAAGAGGGATTTTGAAGGGTTTGAGGCTGACCCTGTCGACCCTGCACCTGTTGTGCAATCAATTGTGGCACTGAAAAATTCCATGGGGTTGGATGTGAGTGGCCAGGATGTGGAAGAGTTGGTGGAGGACCACAATGAAGAGCTAACCACTGATGAGCTGCAAGACCTTCATCTGCAACAACAACAGACCACAGCTGAGGAAATTGCTTCAGAGGCGGAGGAAGAGAGATGGAATAAGGTGCCTTTTTTAAAGATTAAGGAGATTTGTGCAATGTGGACTAAAGTACATTTATTTGTGGAGGAACATCACCCTGAGAAAGCTGTTCCAATCCATGCTGGTGACTTTTACAATGACAATGCCATGTCCCATTTTAGGCAAATCTTAAAGAGATTCCAGAAACACCTGTCTGGACACACATTTTGTGTGACAGGGGTCCAGTGACTCTCAAGCTTGTCCTAGTGGCAGTAAAAAACAAAGGAGGGAAGTGACCCGGATAAGGACTTGGTACCTAGAGACCTTATGGAGGGGGATTCCCATTCCAAACAGTAACCTATCATCCCTCTCCCCTCCTCCCTTTCTTCCTTCCAGCAACAACAGCCTTCAATAAAGGTAAGTGTCATGTGTAATGTTCATTCTTTTGTGCATGTAACTGTCTTTATGATAAAAAAAAATTTTTTTGTTGATACTTCTGGGTGTCTGGAATGCATTAATTCCATTTACATTATTTCTCATGGGGAAAATGGTTTCGGTTTTGGCCGATAGCTCAGGAACGGATTAAACACGAAAATCGAGGGTCCACTGTAACTCCAAAAACGAGGTAGGATATTATTGGTGAAGGATATTTTTGGTGGCTTAGGTAATCAATGATCCCATTCACGGTTGCCATATTTATATTTATTAATGAAATGTGATTTTCCTAGTAGAATGTACAGGCTCTCCTCGCTTAGCGACGTACGCGTTTACTGACAACTCGGATTTAAGACCGGCTCTTTGACCAGTATGCATACCTATAATGTATATTAAAGCTGATTTCCTCTATTTCGTTTATTACAGTATACAGTACACTACTGTATAAACATTTAAAAATATACCAGAAATGTTATAAATGGTGCAAAGGTGACATTACAACAATATAAAAAATAGTTGACACAAACCCACTACCATTACAGTATGCTCCTCACTTAGCGACGAATTCGTTTACCGATGTATTCTTAGGAACTGAACTCCGTTGTTAAGTGAGGAGAGGCTGTATAGCAAAAATGTATTTTGGCCATTCAAAGAAAGCGTTTTGTATAAAATGAATTAAATGATCCAAATTCTTTTTTTTATATACTGTATGTCTGAGATTTAATTAAATGCACTAATAAAAATACACTAACATGCATTAACTTACTGGGCAGTGAGTAACTTTGTGACACTTCTCAAAAAGTTTTATAATTTTAATGATAAACAATAATCCTAAAATTTGTTTGTATCTTTACTTTGTATATGGGTCTTATTTAGATATGTTATGATGTTCAATAATTGATCACTTATTCTATTTTACAGGGTTACCCAGTGAGTGTGCTGTGGTACAGCTTCATCTTGATAGCTATGCAAGTTCATATCTTTACGTTGATTTTTGCCTGGAAGCTTATACTGGCATGGAAGAACCGAGGGGCAACAAAGAAGACCCAGTGATGGAAACCGATTATCATCTTGTATACGATATTTGAGCAAGGTGTCAAAATTTTGCATTATAAGATTTGAAGTTTGAAGAAAGTATATTGACAATAACATTTCTTTTTCTACTAAGACTTTTATATAACTGTTAGCCAAGAGTATTAACTTGCTAAAAAAAAAAAATATATTAAGGCTGCATCATATTTTGTAATGCAAGTTTGTGCAATTTTTTTAAACATTGAATATTTGTACGGGTCAGTCCTTGAGAGTTTTATTCTTCATTCTTAAGAGCATTGCTGATTTTCATTTCTTACTTCCTAGGTTTTGCTAGCATTACTAAAGTAACTATATGAAAGAAAGTCTTAGCACTTTGTTTTGTAATGGATAGCGTTATCAGAGCAGGGCTCTTAGTTTGAAGATGTTGACATCTTTAACAAAAGTTAGCTTACTATCGACAAAGTAATTAATTACTACTGCCAGAGCTCTTGTTACTCCTAATTAACTTCACATCAAGTTATTCCTAATTAATTTCTTAATGCCAAGTTATTTCTAATTAATTTCTTCATGCCAGGTTATGACTCCATAATTTTTTATTGTTGAATTTTGTGAATGGGAAAACTGAGTGTTATATTGTAAGAGTAATTTCTGATTGTTTCTTTTGTGTTATTGCCCTGTTTCAAGATGAAGCTTGGGTTATTGGAAGATATGAAATAAATTTATCTTTTTGATTAACATTCTTACTTTACAGTTGTTTAATTGTTTTACAGTTCCATATTTTAAGTCTAATAAGAATGGTACCATAGAACAAACGCAGCATGGCATGCAATTACCAGTTATTTATGTTTGAGTGTGTATGCAGTCACCTTTCTTTGCATTCAAATTGGAATGACATGTCAAGGATTCTTGGCACCACTGAGTATTTAAAACTCAACAGCAACACTATTGATATGTATTACAGTAATCTTAATCTAAAATTGGTCTACCAAGTAAGTGAAACACTTGCCATGAATGTTGTTATGCTGAATACAAATGCTAGATAAATATCAGGGATAAACAAATTGGAAATAATGAGTGAAAGAAGTACAGATTCTTTAAGGTTTCAGCTTATTTGCCAAAGGCATCGTTGAGGGCAGTATCATGAAAGGGGCCAAAGAATTAAAATAAATTGTCTGTTGTATTATGTGCACTTGAGGCAAGTTTTCTAAAATTGGTAAACATAAGTGGATGATAATTTGTAAAATGCACAGCATAGTTTATACTGGAGCACTTAAACAAAAAGTATTGTAGACTTATATATTGTTGTACAGTACTACTACATCTGAGAATCTAGTTTTAATATGTAGTTCTTGGTGTCACACGTCAATTACTTTACATTATAAATATGTAAAGAAAACCAAGAGGAATGAGTTCTTTGGGTGAAACATTATTTGCTCTGTCACAATAACTGGTTGGTTGCATGTATAATGCTTCCTCCAGATTTTTGGAAGAAATGTTCCTGAGATCTTGGCAAATCCAGAAACTGCAAATACCACCAAATATTTCTCAAACCTTGCTAATATATTATTTTTTATAGTTTTTATTCAATAAGAGATTTGAAATTATAAATGCAGTAAGCATATTTTTCATCTGTATTAACTGGTTGGTTTTCAATTAAGGAATTGTGTTAAGCTTACCAGTGCACTTTCTTGCCCAATTTGTACCAAAAACGAGCATACCACACATGCACCAAAACCAGCATTAAATAAAAATTGAGCAGTAAACCAAAAAAAAAAAAAAGTTATTTTTTTAACACTGGCTGTCTCCCATTGAGGTAGTACAACCCGAAAAAGAAGAAACACTTTCATCATCATTCACTCTAGCACTGTCTTGCTAGAGATGTGCTGATATTACAGTTCAGATGCCTCTCCAAACTGCAAATATCTCCATCCCCTACTAAAAAAAAAAAATCGCAGAATGGGTGGGGCTTGAACTCATGGTAGGTAAGTCCAAAAACTAAGACCAGTGTGCTCTGGCCTATGAATTTTAGGGTTTGCCTGCCATGGGTCTGAGCCCCACCCACTCTGATTTGCTTACAATCGTGTTTTTACAATTTTGTGAGTTATATGAACCTAAATTATTAGAGCAAAGAAATCATATTTCAGTTTTATGATTGTGTTGATTTTTTTTTTCCCCCAATATCAAGGCAGGGCACCTTGAAAAAGAAGAAAACCTTATAAAGCTTTTCTTTTAGTAATTTATACAGGAAAACGGGTTACTAGCCCCTTGCTCCCAGCATTTTAGTTGCCTGTTACCACACACATGATTTATGGAGGAAAGATATATTAGATCACCTATAAAAAACTTATGGAAAATTAAAGGTATTTTTGAAAAAAGATCTATAGCTTATCTGACTTTTAAATTTTTTTCCTAGGTCATGTCTAAATAATGCTTTAACCTCATTAATACTGGCATTTATGAGAAAGGGTATGACAAAGAAAAAAAAAATTTGTGCTAAGGGAAATTCAGCAAGCCAATTTTCAGTTTAGAAATTATGCAATAAGCCAGAATTCAACTTCTGTAAGTGGCTTGCTTGACAACAAGTACCACTGCAACAAACTTAACAAAACATGAGTGATACTCTATTGTGATATGCTAAAACATACATTTCATGCAGTCATTGGAACAAGAAACCTTGAAAAACAACATATATTGGTACGAAAAAAGGGACAAGAAATTTTTGGTGGTAATCTATAAGAAAAAATCCTCAAATTCATAAATTTGAAGGATTAATATATCAACTTAATCACACCATAGGGTGAGAAAGAATGGCCTTAGCTTTATTTTATCAGTAGTAATTTGTCTTAAGTACTCAGCCTCTTCTTACCCCCATAAGCTAGTGCCAAGAATTTTATAACTGTTGACATACTGCGGTTATTTTATATAGTACATACAGTTAATATTTCCCATAAGAAATAATGTAAATCCAATTAATCCATTCCAGATACCCAAAAATATTAACAAATAATACATTTTATAGAGAATAACTATAGTTTTACATACAAACTAGGGCATACGATAACCGAGGTTCCGTGGTATTTAAATTATTCATAAATTACAGAAATCTAATGTTTGGATTATGATGAAAACTGGCAAATTTCAAATTTTTCAAAAATAATAATACACTCTTCACGTTTCCGTGGTCATATATATATTCCTGTGCCACCATTGCTTCTGATTTTAGGCTTCAACCCTTACTGTCCACACGTAGATCTATATTTACATTGCGTGGGGGGGGGGCTCCAAATGTAGATCAACGTTTTATTTTTCATTCCTTCAAAATGGGTCTGTGCACTCAGTGTGCAGTATGAAAAAAATCGGGAACCACTTAGTACCTTGTGGGAGCACAAGTTCAGGTGAGTGCCGGCTAGAGCATATAGCATGGCAAACACCAGGGATTCACTGATGTCATGTTGTATTAACACTCCCTTTTTAAGAGGAAAGTAAAAATAGGTTAGATAAATACATGAGTGGGTATGAGTTGGACCTGACTAGCTTGTGCTACTAGATCAGATGCCGTGCTCCTTCCTTCATTGGATGTGACCTGACTAGGCGGGTCATTGGTCTAAGCCAGAGGGTGACATGCATCTGCCTTGCATGGGCCAGTAGGCTTGCTGCAGCGTTCCTTCTCTCTTATGTTCTTATGTATTCAGCAGGCTGGCTGGGCTGGCTTTGGCTGTCTGTCTGTATCTGTCTGTCTATATTTGTCTATATGTGTCTGTCTATATCTCTGTCTATATCTGTCTATCTCTGTCTCTCACATGTATGTAGACATAAGTACAGTTATTGTACATAGCGTAAATTGCCTAGGAAAACCCAAAAATTCCAGGCAAAGTGCTATGCAGTGTTTGTAAATCTAAGACATAATAAACATGATGCAAGTAAAAGCAGTGTCACTTGCTCAGCAATCGGGGAGCGGCTCATAAACCAAAAACCAACAGGTTTACCAGCCGCTCCGAGACAAAGACAAACAGATGGAAAGACAGACATACAGGCAGACAGACACATACAGACAGACACGTTTGTGTGCAACAGCGAAAACAAAAGCGAGGGTTCCTTGCAGCAGCCCACTTTCATCAAATGTCACTGCCTGTCACCGGTTATCTCACGCTTGTCATAACACCATTCTTCAATGAGTTTCATATACAGTGGAACCTCTACTTACAAGTGCGTCCACATGCGAGTTTTTCCAGATATGAGCAGCTGCTCGGTCGTTTTTTTGCTACAAGACGCGAGCAAAATTTCCAGATGCAAGTGGGCCTCAAGGGAGGTTAATTGACACTGGTGAAGGAGCTTATGCACTTGTTCTAGGGAATTGGATCTCAGTTGTTTGTTGGACTATCTTATTGAAACTTGGGCAATGTATGGTGAAAAGATGCTTCTTAACATACACCAAAAATGAAAGAAATCAGATTATAAATAATGGAGTTCACTTCTCAGCCATTAGCCTCCCCTTAGCGGTATATTTTCGTATGGTTTTTATGGTTGTATTCTCGTTTTATTTGGTCTCATGTGATAGAATGGAAGATATACTACAAAAATAAATATGATTTTAATTGGTTTCACAATGAAAAGTACCTTGAAATTGAGCTCGAAATAGCAGAAATGTTCGATTCTTTGGCGACATCAGTGGTAGACATCATGAGGTAGCAGTGGCAGACAACATGAAGCAGCAGTGGCAGACAACATGAAGCAGCAGTGGCAGACAACATGAGGTAGCAATGGCAGACAACTTGAGGTAGCAGTGGCAGACAACATGAAGCAGCAGTGGCAGACAACATGAAGCAGCAGTGACAGACAACATGAAGCAGCAGTGGCAGACATCATGAGGTAGCAGTGGCAGACAACATGAAGCAGCAGTGGCAAAGTGTAGCATTAAGTGTAGCAATTAAGTGAAGCATTAAGAGTGGAGCACTTACAAGTCACTCTTGACTTTTTGGGGTTTTCCTAGATTCTCTACACATGTAGTCAGGAGCAGGAATGGCCGCTGTGGTGGCCCTATAAACCCCAACAACAATGGCTGCTGTCACCACCACTAGCCACATACCTAATGACATGTATTTTATTCATTCTAGTATATATATCATGTTTCTATGTTATTAATATTGTTTATTATGTCATATTACATGAATTGTGATAGATAAATAAGCTGTAGAGTTGATATTAGGGAAGTTATTAAAGTATTTTCTCGTGCCTGGAATTCCACTGGAACGAATTAATTCCATTTCAATTAATTTAAATGAGGAAAATTGACTCTGCAAACGAGCAAATCCAGTTGCGAGCAAGGTCATAGAATGGATTAAACTCGTAAGTAGAGGCTCCACTGTATATTCCAGGCAGACAGAGAGACAGAAAAACAGAGCTAGATACAGATAAGCAGAGCTAGACAGACAGACATGTTTGTGTGCAACAGCAAAAACAAATAAAGCCAGGGTTCCCTGTAGCAGTGCACATTCATCAAATGTCATTGGTTGTCACTAGTTATCTCGCTTGTCATGACACCATTCTTCAAGGAGTTTCATATATATTCCACCATGTCTAAAACATTGCAGAGACCTATAAATACTTTGTATATATGTATTTCTAGATAATAGTAAATGACCCAGGCAGGTGAAAATGTTCACCTGTCGGTGTGATTGTTACTATTTGAGTACTATTTCAGTACATAATATTAGTGTCAGAACAAAGATTGGCTATGAAATCATAA